CCGGTTGCTGAAGGATTTTGAAGGTCCTCGAAGATTCGTGAAGGAATCATGAAGGATTCCTGAAGCATCATTAGGTTTCTGAAAGAAGTCGGGTTTCCCAAGGTCCAGAATTATTCCAAATTATTCTTTCAAATTCCAAAGGATTGTCGATGGGGGGCCCGAAGGAGTCCTGAGGATTCTTGCAGGTCTGCCGCCGACTCCTGGAGGATTCGTGAGGCTTCCTCTGGTTTCCTCAAGATTCCCGCAAGGTTTACTCAATGTTTCCTGTGGGCCCTTTCAGATTCCCGATGATTTCCGAAGTTTCTGGGCGTGTCCATAATTATCCCTGAAGGGTGCAGGATCCCTGAAAGGTCCCCGATTCCGGAACATTCGCTGCTACGAACCCCTCCCCCCCTAATCGGGGGTTAGATTATTATTGTGTGTTAGCGAGAACGTTCCGTGGTTCCCCCTCCGGAATGAATGATTTTGTGTGCTACGTATAGCACCTGGAGAGTCGATAAGTGGTTATCAAGGTTAGGTTGTGGGGTGGAGTAGGGGATGGGGTTGGTGGTGATCCGTTATTGCTGCAGACTCCTGTGGTCAGGAAGGCGCCCCCGCGTCCAGAGCACAGTTCTGTAGACTCGTGGTCTGCAAGTTTTGGCGCCCCCGCGCCCCGTATCATAGACAACCTGGAGGGCTGAGAATTGGAAGTTAGGGGCGACGTTGGGGGGGTAGGAAGACACGGACGGGAACGCACCGAAAATTATCGGATGTTGTCGTGGCCGACACGGTTTCCATAAGCTGCGCTTCGTCGAGCGCGTTTTGGGGGTGCCAGAATCTCCCCGAACGGCCGCCGGAGGCTGAGAGTTGTGACCCGAAAGCCAGGGAGTGGAAGGTCAGAGGCAACGTGAGGGGGTCATAGGCTCAGATGGTGAAACACCGACCGCCAAAATCACCAAGATCGCCGATAGGGGCCCGATAGCCCAACCCCGCCCAGGAACGTGCGGCTGCATGACGCATCGTGCGACCGCAGCCTTGTTCCTTCAGCTCTAAGCATGCGGCCCTGTGGTGCGAAAGCTCGAGCATTGGGAGAAAGTGCTGATCGTCGCAACTCTCGGTTTAAATCGACCCACGCTCGATCGGTTCGATGCGGCTCGATTTTGAGCCTGGTTTTCTCCAACCCGCCGCCGACGATGCCTTCGCGATGCATCGGCGATGCGGCGCGATGCGCCCCTCGCCCCAGGGCAGAAACCTACGTGAGGAGGAGAAGGAGGAGGAGGAGGTGGAGGAGGAGGAGGTGGAGGAGGAGAAAGAGAAGGAGGACGAGGAGGAGGACGAGGAGGAGGAGGAGCCCCCCTCTGCTATGCCCCCTTTTGTCTGCCCCGATCATCGACCACAGAAGAAAAAAAAGGCCCAGGCGCCCCCCGGTGGATTGTTCGCGGGGCTCCAGGGGAGGCTGGCGGTACTGGGGGCCCGCGACTATGCACACCAGGGCGCCATCCTCCAGGGGAAACTCGTCGGCCGGCGCCCGTGGGCGCAGATCGGCGCCCACGGCTCGGCGGTGGCCCAGCTCCGGCCCGCCCCCGGCCCATCTCGGCGGGCTCGCGGTGGCCGCGCGAGCCTCGGCCGCGGCAGCGCCGGCGGCGCTGGCGGCTGCTGCGCCGGCGGCGCCCCGCCGGGTGGAGCTTCGTGCGGCCGGCGGCGGCGCGCGGGCGCCGCCCCGCGCGCTGGCGCCCAGGCCTCGGCTCCTCCCTGTCGGCGCCTCCGCCGCCGCCGCCCGTCGTCGAGGGCGGGGAGCCCGTCCGGAGTCGTGGCCACGGCCGCGCGGGCCGCGCCGCCCTTGTCCCTGGGGCGCGCCGCCCCAGACGTGCCGTGCCTCGAGCTCGGGGCCCCTGGCCGTGGGTAGCCCGCCAGTGGTGGCAGTGCCGCTCTCGTCGTCGTCGTCGTCGTCGTCGTCGTCGTCGTCGTCGTCGTCGTCGTCGTCGTCGTCGTCGTCGTCACCTGCTGGGGCGCGAAGTAAGTCGCGCGTCGCGGTCTGGGCCAGAGCGACGCCCCTCCTCCAGGGGGGCGTTTCGCGGCGGCGCGAGCGTGCGGAGATTGTCGCGCGTGGCGCATCGCTGCGCGCGAGGGCGAGGCACGTCCGCAGTTAGCTTTCCTTCCTTCCTGCCTTCCTAGCGGCCTAGCGCCACCGTGGACAGGTCTCCAAGGGCGAGCAGGTGGCACATGGGCCACGAGAACGGTGGTGTCCGCTCTGGCCACAGCCCCCTCTCTCAAGCGAAACACGAGGGGGGCGCGGCCGCGCAGGCCCCTCGCGCGCTCCGACAACAGAACACCTACGTACAGACACGCAGTTGCCCACAGGGAGCGGGGTGCCTGCAGACTCCCTGACAGCCTCACGGGCCGTGCTCCCTGTCGGCGGCGAGCCCGGGTGGTAAGCGAGGAGGAAGAATGAGGAGAAGGCCTTCCCAGAAGGCTCGGAAGGTCCCTGGCCTTCCGAGGAGTGTTCCAAGCCTTCCCCGAAGGCACAGCACCTGTCGCAGAAGGCGCGAGGGCTTCTGAGAAGCCCCGCCGCCTTTGAGGAGGCCTTCTCCTCGCTGCCCCCCCTCGCTCGCCCCCGACCCTTGGCCGCGGCCCCGTGGAGACGGGGGGGCACCGCGCGGAGCGTAGCCATAGGACTGCGCATCCACGGGACCGCGCCCCGGAGTCTAGCCCGCGAGGGCGTGGACGTGGATATTCATGCGGGCATGGTGTGCCGCTCGTGAGCCCTTCGCCCGCGACCGCCGCCATCGCTGTCGTCGGCGCCGGCGCCGGCGCCGTCGAAGTATTCGTCGTCGCCGTCGCCGCCGTCGTCGTCGTCTTGGTCATGCTCATTCGTTGTACTTGTTCGTCGTGTTCGTCGTCTTTCGTGTGTCCGTCGCCTCTCGTAGTTTTCGGCTTTGGGCTTGTGGAGATTTCGGGAGGAGGCCTCCCAGCGCCTCCAGGGCCCTCGACTTCTGGAGGGAGGGGGTCCCATGGATGCTTTTCGTTGTTTTTGGAGCTCCCGCAGTGCTATTCCTGCGCCTCGGCGTCCAGACCGGGGGGGTATGAATATGTACTCCTGGGGTCTCGTATCATTGGAATCGCGACACGGTGTCCAGACCGCGAGGGTATGAATATGGATAGCTATGTTCGTCAGTCGTAAAGTGTGCGGTCTCAGGGGCCTCTCCTCCAAACTGCAAAAAAGCTGCCTAAGATGTCAAAATTAAGCCCACATGAGCACGAAGCCGCAGCACGGCCGAGCTGGAGCCCTGGCCCGAAACCGCAGCTGCAGCTTGAGCCCGAGCCCCAGCCTGGCCTCGGGAGAAGCCTTGGGTGAACCCGCTTTTGCCATGACCCCTTCCCGTCGTGCTGAAGCTCACCGCCTCCGTCGTCGGCTTTGAATATGTGTGGATGCTTTTGGCCCCCTTTTGGCTTCCAGGAGGCTTCCAAAGGCCTCGGGACCTCCGGAGAGATCTGGAGATCCCGGGAGGCCATGGAAGGGTGTCTATTTTCTACACGCTTTCTCCTCCCCCTCCTCCTCCTCCCTTTCGTCCTCCTCCTCCTCCTCCTCCTCCTCCTCCTCCTCCTCCTCCTCCCAGTCTTTCGCCCAAGGGGAGAGGTGGGCGGGGGGCTCCTCGGGGCCCTCGTGGTCGCGGCCAGACGCAGCCCGAGAAACCGGCCAGGATTGACCTTCGGGCGGATCTGGGCATCGACGCTGAACGGACTGAGGCGGAAAAGCCAGGGCCGCCCAACGATCCGACTCGCTGCTGCGAGTCTACTTGCTGGCTGGGGCCGCGAGCCCGATTCGATACGGTTTCATTCGCCATCATCGGCCAGGGCCAGCCAGGGCTGGGCGCGGCGATCCAACTGCGCCGCGATTCGGGACGGTTCGCTTGCGATCCGATCCGAGTTCGCGATTCGATCAGGCTCGGGCCCGTCTGGGGATCGATTCTGAACGGCCCAAGGGGGCGGAAGGCCCCCCCCCGGCCACGCGAAGAGGGCTCAGAGTGGCGTGGCCGTCGTCGTCGTCGTCGTCGTCGTCGTCGTCGTCGTCGTCGTCGTCGTCGTCGTCGTCGTCGTCTCCCTCCCACGGGGCGGCGCGAGGGCCCGGCGGTGATCGCGCCTTGCGGGCGCGGAGTCGGCGGTTGTTTGTGCCCGTTGGTGTCAGCGCGTATCGGCCGCTTCCTGGAGGTTCTCTCGCCTCGGGGCGCCCTTCAGCAGCTGCGCCGCGTCGGGAGCTTTCCCCAGGGGTGCCCGGCGGATCGCCCCAAACGGCTACCAGAGGCCCGAGCTTCTACAGTCAAAAACCATGATGAGGACACACGCCTTTCCTAGTGTACCCTTGGGTCCTGGCCTCTGCGTTCTGCGGCGCCAGCCAGGGTACCTTTGCGTCCCAGGGGTTTGGGCCGCGCGCTGCCCAACATATCCCAACTTCGGCCTACAAGGGCCTTGCGTCCTTACCGCCCGTCTTGATGACAAGTTTTGAGTGTAGGCCTTCCAGATGGGGTCAGAGCAAATGGGGTCGGAGGATCGCGCCGCATCGCCGGTGCACCGGCGATGCGGCGCGATGTGGAGCCCGATTTTCTTCACGCCGACGTCGCCGACGCTCCGGTGATCCATGGACGATGCGGCGTGATCCTCTGCCCCCATCCACCCAAAACCCCACCCGGGAGGCCCCTCCAGAGTCCAGGAGCCGCGCCGACTGCGGGCCGAGCCGCCCGCGCCGAGCGACGGCGGGCCGAGCCGAGCGAGCGACAGCGGGCCGCGCCGCGCCGGCGGCGGGCCGAGGCGCGCCGCGCCGACGGGGTGCGCCGCGCCGAGCCAACGGCGGCCGTCGCCCCCCTCCTCCTCCTCCTCCTCCTCCTCCACCTCCTCCTCCTCCTCTCCTCCTCCTCCTCCTCCTCCTCCTCCTCCTCCTCCTCCTCCTCTCCTCCTCCTCCTCCTCCTCCTCCTCCTCCTGCGCCGCGCCGAGCCAACGGCGGCCGGCGCCCCCCCCCGTGCGGCAGGCCTGGCCGCCAGCGGCCCGGGGCCGCCCGCCGCACTCGGCGAGGCCCCGGCGCGCGGCGGCCCGCGCTGCCGCGGAGGTGCCTCAACGCCGCCGCCGCGGTGCCCAGGGGGGGGCCCCCGAAGGGCTCAGGGGTCACGATCGGGGTGGGTCTCGGCGGCGAGCGAGGGGGGAAGTGATCGAGAAGTGGCGGGCCCTCTCAGAAGGGTCGGAAGACCCCCAGGCTTCTGACAAGTTTTCTGTGCCTTCCCCGAAGGCACAGAAAACTTCTCAGAAGTCGCGAGGGTTTCTGAGAAGCCCGGCCGCCTTCTGAGGAGGCCTTCTCCTTCTCACTTCCACCCTTCGCTCGCCGCCGACAGGGGGGGATGCATCGACCCCCAATCGCCCATTGGTCGCCGATAGGGGTCTGATAGCCCTGCAACGCCAAGGAAGGTGGTGAGCACACCGCGTGGTGAGTCGGTGTGGCTCCGCGGTTTTCGATCGTTTTGGGCGCACTCCTTCTTTGCAGCACCACTTCGCGCCACCGCGTGAGGCGTCATGTGCACAGCATGTGGCGCTCAAATAATGGATGAAAGGCCTCGGTGGTGCTTGCAGACCATTCTTCTACTGGGTTTTCTGGCGTTTCCGTGGGCGTCTGGGGGCCATCCTGCCTAGGGATGCGTTCCAGTTGCTGCGCCTCTCCGAGAGCGTCCCGAACGGCCGCCAGAGATATGCCCGAGTTAAGCCAGGACGTTAAATGTTTGGAAAGGGAGTGGGGATTCGGGGTCATCGCCCTGTTCTGGGATTCGGGTCGATTTCCGAGGACGCCTCGGGCAATTGGGGCCTCCGAGGTCCTAAACCATGCGATGACGGTCCGCGCGATGAGGTCGTTCGGGACTCGAGGTCACCACGCGGTCCGTCATCACACGGATTGGGGCCCCGAACGAAGGTGTACGACGCCGCGCTCGCGCTGGGCGCCTTCGCCTACACTTTCCTGAGCAAGCTTGGGTGCTGCTAGGAGTGGCCCTGGCCCAAGATCAGACCCCAGTTTTCCCAGGGTGGCGCAGGTGGCTTTCAGAGCACCCAATCACGAGGCCCAGAGACACCGAAATGGCGCGACAGCTGGGAGCACCCTCGGCCAGGATCACTGCCAGCAACACCCGACGAGCCCGCGAGCGCGCCGGGGCCCTCCGACACCCTGCGCGCCGCGGAGAGGAGGGCCATCCTGGATGTCTGCAGGCTTTGGGGGCGGGGCGGGTTGGCGGGCCCTCGGGGATGCGGCGCGCAGAGGGGTGGTTCAGGGGCAGCTAGGCTCAGGGGGGGCTGCATCGACTGCAATCGCCCACAGGCCTGATAGCCCACCCCACCCAGGAACGCGCGGATTCGCTATCGGGGGCCCATCGCCGATCTACCAGCGACGGACCGCCGATTCCAGCTCGAGGCTTCCCCCCCTTGAGCTGGTCCCCCCTCCCCCCCTCCCAGATGGGGATGGAGCGAGGCAGGGCCGCATAATTACGATCCTACAGTCGGGGCGCTGAAGAAGAAACCCTTTTCCATTGGGGAGGGGCTCGATGTTCACTGATTGTTTTACAGTGTGCCTTTGGTGCTCCTGAGGTTTTCCATTTGGCATCGAAGTTCAACATATGGGAAAAAAAGGGCCTCGTTCCTTATTTAGGGTTCCTTCGGTCAACGCCCCGACGGTATTCAATTTGCGGGCTTGGCCTGCGATTCCGATTCGATTCGATTTGGCTTGATTTGCCGACTTCGCTTGGCCCAGCTGGGGCCAGGCGCGGCTATCCGATTCCCACTCGATTCGGGGCGATTCGCTGGCGATCAGATCCGTTTTAATGCCGATCCGATTCCACGATTCACGATTCGATCCGGTCCAGGCTTGCGCGGAGGATTCGGAGGGCAACAGAAGGAAGGAGTGCTTCTGTCCGAGGCTGGGATGTGTCCATATCCACCGCTTGGAACATCTATCTTCTGTGCTTCCGGAGACGGTAGACATGAATACTCTTGGGCCCCAGGGGCCACAAAACCATATCCACCGCCCTCTGGGGTCCTAGGACATCGGTTCCCCAGGAAGTGGATCTGAACAAATCCCCCTCCTCGCATTCTGAGAAGTGCCCGTGCCTTCTTGGAAGGCGGCCTCCTCGCTCCACCTCGCGCCGCCGCCAAAGACGGGAGACCCTCTCCCAGAGCGAGGGCCCTCCCAGGGGTAGCAGAGGCCCTGCTTGAGCAAGCCTAGGAGTTGGCAGAAGCTCTCGTCCCCCCCCCCTCTCAGGAGGGGATAAAACACACAGACACAATTGATCGTCGACTCCCCTGAAAATATGGGAAAATATGGGAAGTGGGGGGGAAGACAATAACCCAGAAAATATTGGAAAATATGAGGGATCCTTTTAATTGTGTGTATTTATTTGTGTGTCCCAGGGCTCCTTCTTAGGAGTTGGCAGAGGCTCTCATCCCCTCCCCTCACTGCCCCATCTGTCGGGCAAGCCAGGGTTCCAGCCCTGTTGCCTCCATCCCTGTGCATAGCATCGTGGACACCGCCAACGCTCGGTGGAGGGCATACGGGAGACATTGATAGGAGGGAGTTCCTCGGCGAGTGTGGGGGAGCGCTCAGGCTTTTGTAGCTCTCTTTGGGGGTATCGTCGGGCCACATTCCAGACGTCCACAGGCTCCGGGATAGGCTGGAGCACGCCTCCAGCGTCCTCGAGACACAGGCGGCCAAGTGGGAGCTCGCCAGGGCGGAAAGAGTGCTGGAGGATGTGGAGGCGAAGATTCACAGGGAGTTTGCTGACCTGGAGATGTATCCCGTCCCAGACTACATGCAGCCAACATACCGAAAGGGTGGTGTCCAGATGGCCGTCACAGGAGGCTCCGGCGTTGGGAAGTCGTCTTTTATCCGGTTGGCTGCGGCAATACCCGCCCGGTGCCAGCGCAGCATCGAAATGATTTGCATGCAGGGTTGTATGTGGAGTGGCGGAGACGTCTTCACGATTTCGAGGCGCATCGGGGACGGCTGTCCAGCCTCTTCTGGGCCCTGCCTGGGGCATGCTGGGCCAGGGTGTTGAGGCCATTTTGTGCGCGATGGTTCTACTGAGCTTTCGCGAAGTGGCTCGCTAGAATCATGTTGGGGCCGTCTGGGCGGGTCTGGGGAGTCTTACAGCCTATCTTGGGCCGTTATGTTGGCTTCTCGGACCGTCCGTCTTCGGGACCGTTCCTGTCCTTCTGAAGCCTTCCTGGTGCAATGTGCAATCGGAGAGCAGCCGAATCAAAAAGCAAAGAACGTATGCTGTTCATTGCTGCTTGTGCATCCCAGGGCCTTGCTGCGGGCCTCCTTCGTCAAGCGCCTCTGGGGGACTTCTCGGGGCATCTTGGAATCTCTTGGGAGCGGCTTAGCGACCTTGGACTATCGTTCAGCCAAATTGGGTCGGTGTTGGGGCATATTGCAGCTGTATGGAGGCGGTCCCTGGCAGTGCTAAGGTCCGTCTCGAGATCGAAAGGAATGGTGGATAGCAAACCAGGGAGGGACGATTTTCGACGCCCTCGCAAGTCAGGGACCCAAGTTCAAAATCGCAAAAGAATCAGACGGTTGATCAACATTCTGACACGCCTCGACGTGCCGAGGGACCGGTGGTGGATCAATGCCATTCGCAGGACGAGTGTCCGAGACCCGGGTGCCGCGGCGACGGGCATCACGGAGACGACGCGGCACCCGCAGATGTTCACTTTCTGGCCCGGCCGAGCTGGGGTGTTCAACAAAGTGTTCGAGCAGGTCGGTCAGATCCTCAGGATGACAGGCTCGGAGGACTCACACACCGAGCGGCGTCGCGCGTCAGCCTCAGCGGAGCTGATCCGGACTCTGGTCAAGAACAAGGACGCCTGGAGCTACATTGACCCCCACCAGGACTTCAGGGGCGGCCTCACCGACCCATACAGTGGGGGCCCATGCCAAGAAACACCCTGGTCGCCTCCACGTTTTCTTGGGTTTCGATGAGTTTGCGATGGAAGGCGTGACGTTCCCACGCCAAAAATCGATGGGCGTCCTGGGGTCTCAGGGTTGGGCTTCTTGTGGAAGGTTTATTGTGGACTGGCCTCCACTGTAGCAAACCATCCCTTCCGTGACGTCCCCCTCGCATCTCGAGCTCCCCTCTTCGCCTCGCTTCCAAGACGTGTGTATGCGGCCGGGGGGAAGCTTGAGGAACGAGGTCGGGGCTCAAGTCTGGAGGTAGGAAAGGGGTGTGGCATAAAGGGGTATGGTGCCAATTCTGGATCTGGCGAGGTTATCTATCATAGATGACATCGCCAATTCCACGATAGGCACCACACCCATTTATGCCACACCCTCTTCCGACCTCCAGATCAAGGGGTGTCAATACAAACGGGGGTCAGTCAGAGAGCCGGATCTTGCAGGATTCTGCAGAACCAGGGTTGCATTGACCCGGGCTTGTGTGCAGGATCATGCAGCATCTTTCAGGATTTTGCAGGATCCTGCAAGGCCCGACTGACTCCGGTTTGGATTGACCCTGGCCAGTAGATCCCCGACGAGGAGGACGTCACGCAAGGGGATGGTTTGCTAGGGGTCGGTTAGGCCGCGCCCGAGGACTCCCTGCAGGTGGGGGACCGCCTGCTGCTGAGCGGCCTGGGGGGCTCCAGGACAGAGGAGTGCTCGGCAGAGATCGTCGAGCCTCCCGGGAGGAGCCACGACAGGATCAGAGTACGGCTCGGATGCGGGGAGGTCACAGACGTCAGCGCCGACCGAGTATTGGGCGTCTTGGCCGAGTGCGCCATTTGGGACCTGCCAGGGGTCGGGACGCCCAACTTCCCGCAGCAGACATACCTCAGAAACATGGGGATTCGCCACTTCGACCTTGTAGTGCTCATGACTGCGTCTCGGTTCACCGAGTCAGAGCTGATGTTGGTTGGCGAGCTCGAGCGTTGGGGCGTCCCATATTTCCTTGTCAGAAATAAAGCCGACTTCGACGTGCAGTCCGAGATCGACGAGCTCGAACAGCATTTTGAGGACTACGAGGACTACGACGGTGAGCTCGACCAGGAGGAAAAGAAAAAGATCGAGGCGTCAACGATCGAGAGCATTAGGGAATTCTTCAGGACAGAGCATGATCTTTGCAACATCTACTGCGTCTCCTCGAGACCGAGGCACCGCACGCGCTTTGACTTTCTGCGCCTGGAGCACGACATGGAGGAGGCCCTGCGACGACAGCGCACCGTGCTGTCGAGTGATCTCCGATAGCGCTCGCGTCTTCCAGCTGTTAGTTCTGTAGGCAGCAGGGGCATCTGTACGCATGTCGTTGTCGTGCTCGTTGTCTTTTCTGGATCGCTGCTGTAGCGCCCTCGCCTGCCAGAAGAGCATCTCTGCGCGTCTCCCTGATTTGCCCCCCTGTCTTCGAGCGCGAGTCAAGTCCGGATTGCCGACCACCAGTTGCCACGTTTGAGTACC